TAGGGTTAATGTTAGGGATTGGGTGGGATGCAAAAGGAACTATTTCTTACCGATCAATCCTGACGTACAAGTTATAAGAAAATAAATGCGATTAATTTAATGATTACGAAAACTTAATTACACGAAGAACATATTCTTGGAGTATATGAAACCGAATTGGGAAATCGAACGCGAAGTTCCGTGTTTTTGTCAGTTATGCTATGACATTGATGTGAATTGCTGTTACAGAAAAACTGAGTGATGAATCCAGCTCCTTGGCGCGCCCATCAGTAAATAAACTTTTTAAAAGGCCCATTTAAAAATTATTTTTAATAAAGTGTTATAAATATTATGCGATTTCCATACTATTATAGGACGTTTAGAATTTAGCACTGTGAATGGAAGAAGTAAAGACGATCCTACCAAATACGAGGAATTCTATGCCTATGGAGCGCGCAGTTTCTCAGTATTCCGGGTTTCTGACATGTCCTTGGTCTTCGACAGTAGAGATGAGGTGGAAAGACTTCATGCAGAATTTTACCCAACTATTTTCAACACTCAATTCGAATCAAAGACCATGGACGTGAATGGCCCTGAAGACGAAATGGATGCATCGTCTGATTATAAAGTAACTATTTGCTTTTTCTTTCTGAACTACGAACTGAATGGATGAATAAATGAACTGATTGCGTTCCTGTTCGTTTAATTTGTATTGTGTTCTACACTGTCTATGTCACTTATATTGAGTTATAAACCGCTTTGAAACATGTACTATATTTCGTATTGCAAAGCATGTCAGACAATTTTTAGGTTGGTAAACAATTTATAATATTAGCGAGAAGAACTAATTGGCAAGTGTGACGTTTGCAACGCCCAATGCAATATATTTATATCTGCAGGGAACACAGCCGGAATCCATAGCAATTGGCAATATTGGCTCAAAGACTGTCTTCTTTTTCGGATGTGAAAAACCATCAACCATTGTCATTTATAGTGTCACTGAAGGTCGTGATCCCATCTTTGAAAGTATTTATCGAGCTGGTGAACTCGATGGCACATACGCAGAACTTTACCAGAGTAGACAAGTAGGTGATACTGATCCCGAGGATATCAGGTAAGATATGGTTACCTAGGTTCAGAAAAATAATAAGAAAGCTGCCTTCTCCTACATACTGTGAGATATTCATATATTCATGTATTTCTATTCTTCACCTAGATTTATAGATGCAGCAGAAAGTCCGATTGGTCGACCAATGCTTATTGTCAGTGGAAGTCTAAGTGGGACCTTGTCTACGTATGCAGTTATTGATGATTAGATAATTTGCACATGGCGACGTGAAAATCTTAAACGCACTCCATGTCAAATGGTAACTAATTTGTTGTTCAATTCAGTAAAAGATTTATTAAAAAGGAATAAAATGCTCTTTTTAAAAACATATGTTTTAGCAATTTTTACACATAATGCAAAGCCAATTACAATACGTTGCGCACGTAACATACATCGCTAATGTATGCTAAGCATGCGGTATCTGTAGATTAATCAATTTGCATTTTAATCTACCACGATTGCAACAGAAAATTTTTCTTGACACCAGTTAGAAAATATTCCCCCAAAACAAAATCTAAGTCACGGAAAGTTTTAATATGATCATGGTTTTCTCCAAATTATACCTTGTTCTGTATTTCTTAACTTTCAATGTAGAATGTAGTATATCAATTTACTTTTTTACTTTATTTACTTTATTTACTTATTTATTTAAAGTCAGATGTTTTTCAGCCATATCCGGTTGATACCAGGAATAGCGTCTACCAGTCTTAATAGTTGCTTAGGCGATATGGTAGGTAAATCTACAACAATGGCAGTGCCATCATTGTGATTGTTGCAGGTTTCAGACTATGGGGTATATTGCTATTTATCAGCAGTTTATCGATAAATTGGCTTGGTGTTTCTGGATAATACATTATTTGGTTAGATGGTGACAGTGGTATCTTCGCCAGAAAACAAAATATAGTGGGGTTAAAAATAAATGAGGAATACATGTCCTGCTGCTACTAGTTATTATATATTAAATAACATTTCATTCTGGCTTACTAGTGTTTATTTTTAAACCTGTCGTTGATGGCACAATATAGGTATTTCTAGAATTCAACTAACCCATTTCAGTAAATGAGCATTAGTGTATAAGTGTTTTGTGTTACTTTTTCTTTTAAATAAACGATAGCATGTGTAATCACATGGCACGTGTTACAGTCACCAACCACTAACCTGCATAGCTCAGTTGGAAGAATGACTACTCCATGATTTAGACGATCTACAAAAAACAGACTTACCAGTCCTGATTCTTGCTTAGCCACTTCGGTTTGAAACTCCAGTAGATAATTCTAGACGTACTTGAGTACCTTGGGGTGGTCTAGCTTTAGTTAGTGGTTATTCTCTCAGATAGTAACCGTGTAATAGATTAATATGTTGTCGTTATTGTGATTGAACTGAATCATTAAATTGTGTTTAGCATAGAGTATAGTTCACTATGCAAATAAAGTCTAGCCATATAATGAGGTAATTTGCAACTTCAAATTAGTTTGCCTGTCAAACTATCACTATTTGGCCTTCAGATTTCCTTGCGTTCTTCGGTGGATATAGTGATTTACTTAATGATTCATGGTAGTGTTATTTTAAACACTAACGTCTTCAGATATATGACTAGTCCGTCTTATTGTGCCCCCGCTCCATGAAGGTACAGACAGTTTCCTTGTAGTGATGACTTTCAAAATCCATCGTAACCACCTTCGATTATCGTCCTTCTGATATAACTGATATTTCTTTGCCTTGCAATGACGGCTTTTCATCTTTCTTAACTCAAAACTGTCGGTATAAATCATTAACCGGGTGCATGCTAGAGACACAACTCCAAAATATATAATATTTGAAGCATCTCTTATATATTTTATCAAGTTTGGCTTTAATCCTCTCTATTCTACACAACCTCTTACATTTGTTGTATAGCGACCGCAGTCATTGATTCCAAACTTATGTCATGGATTTGTTTACGCGTATCTGTTGACCGACTTAATTAGCTGATTATTAGCGAATTGCTGTATTATGTCTGTCATCGTTTAGGCCTATTTGAAGTTTTGGACGGAACTTGGCTCAGTGATTTGGAACTAATTACGAGATAACCGTCGCTATTCTGACTATTAATTCTGACAGTTGGTATTCGTAGTTATTAATGTAGTGAACGATTAATCAAAGATATGACGTATTCAGTACTTAGTGTGATTGGTTTTATGATTGAAGGTTACGCCCTAGAGTCTTTTACTGTTTTGTAATTGGTTAGAGTTTTGAAATTGAATAAAGAGAGTTTGAGTTGGTCTTGGCGAATACTCCACGAGAGAGCAGTCGAGAGTCCAGTCCTAGAGAGTCTTGGGGCGAGCCTTGACGCACTCTAAAAGAGTCTTGGGTCAGCCTTGCGATAGTCTTGGGGATTTTCCCCAGGGCGCTGTGTCTGATAGAGTGCTCGATTGACCGACTAAGACGAGAGCTGAAACGTATTTCGCTGTGTGTCTTATTTGACTGTAAAGTATAAGTGGCTTTCCCGATCCCGCACCTCAAGGGAACGAGATATAGAGACGAGACGAGATTCCCCCCATGGCAAGTGTGGAGAACCCCGTGGAGAAGAATTTCCCCCCTGATACTTAAATTGCTGGTACTACATATACTTCATGGCGTCTCCGTGTTCATAACATTGAGTTTTTGTCAATATTTTCTCATCTTGAAGTGTAACACATATACCGATGGCTTACATTTATTTTACTCTGTTCCAGAGTGTCATACTGGTTACGAACTGGATTAATCTTAGGTTGGTCACTATTACAGGTGCATAGTTCAGACTGTATCGTGTGGATATTGTGCTTCTTGTCGATTTCTCGCCTTCATCATAAATTGCTTTATAAGCTTATTTGTCAGTGTTGATTGTAAAATTCATATAGTTGGCATCTATTCAACATTTGTTAACAGTAGCCAATTATGAAACATGTTTGTTTGTTTGTTGAGGTTCTGTGCTGAAATATTCATCCGACTACGACAGATTTATCCCCATAACCTTGCCATTCAAAACTATGTACAGCCATGCATTTTGAGTAAATTGTCATACGATAGCCTATCGTTTTAGTTAATAGGGGTTATCACACATCGCTGTCATTACGCACCTTGTGACTGGTTACACAAATCGATATGGCATGGTATATGTTCTGCCAAGTAAATATTACGTGGTATATCACATGGAAGATGACACTGAATCTACTGAGCACAATAACGATCGTTCACTGCACTGCTACTGTCCCGGCCCTGGTATCACCGATATTTAGTCACAACCGCCATTGCTTGGACAGCCAACAACATGTTATATTGCACTTATGGACATCATGCGTACATGCAGTATTATTTTACCCGAGCCGTTAAATTTTCGGAATAAAATTGTATGATCTGATATTATGTGGGAGGTATGCATTTAAGGTCAAGCGATCTATTATCTGCATTGTTTTAAGAAGTTATTACATTTAAGCAAATCCTACAATCTTTTTTAAAAAATCAAGATGACAGCGAAACCGCGTGACGAATTACATTTATTCAATTTTTCTCATAAAAACCATTGGCCATTGAAGCACTCGTGTGAAGCGAATGCTTGCAATGTTGAATATTTTTTGCTGGACGTCCATGACGGCAGCCAAAACACATAATCTACATTGTATAATTTGTTATCATAAGAAGCTTGAGTCATACATTCTAAAAGCAAATTTCAAGTATTCATAAGAATCAAGTGCCAAGTTTTTGACCATTTTAGTTGAAAATCCAAGATGGCGTATAACCATGTGACTGATCAGCATTATTTTATTTTTCTTATTATAACATTTAGCCATACATATTATATATAAAATATTGAGTTGATCGGTACTCCGTAAATTAAAATGACAGCAAATATTGATTGATCGATTTTTCCTCGTAAGAAGCTTGACCATACATTATACACACACAATATGCAGCTGCTCAGTTGAAGCATTCGTAGGAAGCAAATTCTCCAAATTGTGTAAAATCGGGTTTCACAACTTGTCTATTTATTTAGTTTCATGCCGTATTCAAGATGGCGGCCCCCATATAGTAAATATAGCATTTAAGTTATTATCATTTGTGCGCCAACTGACTGTGGTTGTATGTACGTAATAACTGGACAAGATGTATTCTCATCGCCTTTCATGGTAAAATATTTATCAACAAGAATGTGTTCTAAGAAACATACGACATTATATAAGTACATTATATAAAATTATATAAGTTATCTTTGTTATTCTCCGTTGAGTAATCACCTTGTTTCTGATGAAAATATCGGGGTTTTGTAATAAAGGGGTAGAACCTGAACTATATAGCTAAGTTACTAAGATGATGCACACATTGGCAGACAATGTCGACAACTTTTGGTGCAAGGGTATTATTCTTGTACGTTAATTTCATATGTTCACTTGGGCTGCTAACTCAGTTTTATTCCGCGTTCCTGTGTCAATTGTGGTGGGACTATAAGTGATGGTCCATAAACAGATTGAATTAAGAATGTAGTATTCCTCTTTATGTGACTCCTTAATGCGTCTGAAAATTATATAATCAGTAAATTTCCTGATTATTTTTTTTTCGTCTTTTTTGTTTTTTCGTATATCGATCATGTCCGAAACCCTGCAGTGGGAAACAAAACTTGAAAACATGTGCTTTTTTTCCAATAATTGTCTAATATGCTGTGATGTTCGCTTCATATTGTATTCGGCTTTCATATTTATAAATTCAGAAAACACTTCTAATTATAACATTTTATTAGCTTTGGGGGGGTACACGGCATTTGACATGTGATGCATTCTTAGGTTTTACATCGCCCTGTCCATATTAATCTAATCATCAAGAACTTCATAGGTGGACAATGTTCCACTTAAACTTCCAGTGACGATTAACATTGCTCGACCAATCGGACTCTTTGCAACATCCACAAATCTAGGTGACACAAAGAAAGATGCAATTACTTAAGTATTTCACTGTGTGTAGGAGGAGGCGGCTTCCTTATCATTTAACTGAACCGAGGCAACCATATCTTACCTGACATCTTCGGGATCAGTATCACCTACTTGTCTACTCTGGTAAAGTTCTTCGTATGTTCCATCAAGCTCACCAGCTCGATAAATACTTTCAAAAATGGGATCATAACCTTCAATGACACTATACATAACGATGGTTGATGGTTTTTCACATCCGAAAAAAAAGACAGTCTTCGAGCCCACATGGCCAATAGCCATGGATTCCGGCTGTGGTCCCTGTGAATATATATACATATATATTGAATTAAGAGGTAATACTGAATATTGACACGATACGAATTAGCTCTGGATCGTTTCGCTCATTTTTCAGTTCTCATACATACTTCTTGATAATTCCTATATATAAAACGGCAATAAATTTGAATTAAATGACTGGATACGGTATGCCAGATTGAAATGAACGACTTTGTACTGGACACTGTCGAATACTGACTCCGACACGCCGGCTCGCCCGACATCACTTGTAAGAAAGTCTGTTAGGGAAATTTATTATGGTAGACCACTTGTTTCATTTTCTCACAAATCTTCTGTTTAAATTAGTCAGTAAAATGGCCATCCACACAAACTGTAAGTATTTGAGGTTTTCTCTATAGGTTTGTGGTATAACCTTTCCTGTGTGTTAACAGAGATTACACAATTGACGATAGTGGTTGTCGTATTCTAACTAGCAGCAAGGGTCATAATTGGAGCAAATTACATGAAGCAAAGGGTAATAGTAGTGTATTATTTTGATTATAGTTGTTTTGTTTTAATAAAGAATTCTTCTCATTTGTTTTTTCACCTTTTTGTCAGATGATTTATCCATCTCATCCTCGGGGCCATTCACATCCATGTCTGCTTGTTCGAATTTAGTGTTGAAAATAGTCGGATATACGACTGCGTGCATTCTTTCAACTTCATCCCCACTGTCGAAGACCAATGACATGTCAGACACCCGGAACACTGAGAAACTGCGAGATCCATAGGAATAGAATTCCTCATATTTGGTAGGATCATCCATACTTTGCCCATCCACAGTGCTGAATTGTAAACGTCCTATAGTAGTATGAAGATTAACACGTATCAATCAGTGTTTTCGATGTGTAAACGTAAACATTTGTTTCAAAATAATATATGACGCGTTTTTCACGATATGAAGAACCACGTCATCGTTGTTATGATAAAGAGTTTCGCAATCTGGAGGTTGTATTTTTTAACTAAAATATATTAGTTTCGATAACTTTGTTTTCAGCTATCGTGGAAATAGTTTTGTTGGAGAGAGAGTGTTGCTTCTCTGATATGAACATGATCTGACCTCTCTACTGAAACCTTGGGATCCTTGTATGTTTACGTAACTTATTTGAAAATGTATTGCAAATGCTTATCAGTGGTTTCTATTGTTTTAGTTTTTTTTAAATTCAAGGAGCATGACTTTGGAAATGATTTGAACATGACTCTGTTTCTATTTCATGTGTAATTCAAGCAATAACAATAATGAATAGTTCTAATTATGCCAACTTACCCAATAAGGTTTCATCACTTAAAGCAAGAAACATTGCATCGGACACTGTTTCAGACACCATGTTCCCTGTGAAACGAACGTGGAATTATAATATGACAAGGAACAACAAATGTACATAATGTATACGAGAGGCATAAAACTGAACTACAGCTATACCTAACACGAAGTCTTCACCACGGAGTCCTTCAGCAAATGTATAGTCGGCCGTTACGTAAAATTCCTTATCAGCGCCCTCATTGGCCGTCGCAATATATTCCTGTCCGGCTATTGTGAAGTATTTAATGGTGTCTGGTTGATACATCCCATAAATTGGCCAGTAGTGTAGATTAATGCCTGCAAATGACGCAATAATACGTAGTAACCACGGGACAGCATTCAGTGGTATTTTAGTTATTTATTGGGCTTAGTGAAATGAACAGTGGCATGAGCTCGAATCCTGTGTTGTGTTACTGCGCATGTGTTAAACATGTTCGTAATGTGTTTGTAAAGCATATATTATTCTACTTGTAATCTATCAGTACGAACATAAAGTAAATTCGTGATTTCTGGTGAAAAGTAGAATGTTTTTTAAAGAC